TGAAAGGTGTGTTTTGTTTTATTTTACAGCTAACTTGTCCCTTCTCACCTGAATCCAGGTCTTTGACATTAATGATACCGATAGTTGTACCATGAGGAGAGTCCTCTGATACAGGACTAGTGAATGACATCACATTAATAACAGGTGAGTTGTCATTTTCATCAATTATTTCTATAAACACCTTACTGGAATCTGTTAAACCTCCTTGGTCTTTTGCATCAATTCGAAGTTCGTATTTTTTGTCTTTTTCATAATCAATTGGACCAGAAACAGACAAAATACCAGAAAACTGATCGATAGACAACAAGTTAGCAGTTGTACCTTTTGTATTTGAAAGTGAATACGAAATGTGTCCGTTTGATCCGCTGTCCGCGTCAGTAGCATTAACAGTGACAATGTGGGTGCCAAGTGCCGCATTTTCAGTAACAGCTGCCTTATAAACCGGTTGATTAAACACAGGAGCATTATCATTTACATCCAAAACATTTATATTTATATTCACGGCTCCAGATCTTTGTGGACTGCCACCATCCACAGCAATAAGCTTTAAAGAAAGACGGGGAGCCTCCTCTCGGTCCAGCTGCTTCTGCAGCACCATTTCCGCATATTTACTTCCATCAGGATTAACATGCTGCTTTAAAACAAAATGATTGCTTGGAATTAAAACGTAGTTTTGCAGCCCATTAACGCCGACATCAAGATCCTCCGCGCTGTCAAGCGCAAAACGAGCTCCAATGTTTGCAGACTCGCTAATTTCCAGCATTATTTCTGTTTTTTTAAATAACGGGGAATGATCATTAACATCTAAAACTTCTATTGTTATGGTGTGTAGTTCCATGGGGTTTTCTAAAATCATCTCGAAGCTGAAGCTGCACGGTGTTACGTCACCGCAAAGCTGCTCTCGGTCTATTCTCTCATTCACCACAAGAATCCCTTTGTCTGCCTTCAGCTCGGTGTACTGGATGTTTTCTCCCGTCACGATGCGGGCCCGACCAGAACGGAGCCTTTTCAGATCCAGGCCCAGGTCTTGGGCAACGTTACCAATAAGTGAGCCTTTTTTCTGCTCCTCGGGAACAGAATAGCGAATCTGTCCGGCGGCAATATCCAATGAAAAAAAAAGAAAAATAAATAGTGTCCATCGCATGAAGAAAAGAAAAAGCCATCTGCAAGGCTGCTGCTGAAACGCCATGATAAATTAATGTCAGAAAAAAATAGATCCAACCGGCTTTTYAAATAATTCTTAACATTTCTCGGGTGTTCAATGATCCAAATTCAGGAGGAAGGATAGAGTCAGAAGAAAACGCAAATTGCGTGTTTTCGAAGAGACCAACATTTCCAAATGAGTCTGCGTGGAAAGGATTTWAAATAAAGAATAGCAGCAAGACAAGATACCCTGTTAAACAGCGTCCCTTAGAGTCCAAAATAGGAAACATCAAATAAAACGTGACAAGCAAAACTAACTGCAAGGAATGATTGTTTTTGCTTCACAGTATTAGTTAAAGTTATTTTTTAAATAATATTTGAGTGAGATAAAGCCAGATAATATTATTAATAAAAAATAAAATAAACCACCAGAAATAATACATGTAAATGATTGGAAAAGATAACAAAGTAATGAAGGAGCTATCCTAAAAATGGTGCTGAATACTCAAAGATCACATGGCTTAAGGTAAAAAAAAAAAGGCTGAGATGATGTTGGTTAAATATATAAAAAAAGAAATACATGCAAAAATAAAATGTACATTTTTTAAATAGCGCTTACTTTTTTTAATGTACGGCCGAAAATGACATCATTATTATAAAATATATGCAATGTTCTAGCTTTCATTTGAATATGGACGTACCGAAATTAAAAATAAAAATAAT